CCGATTCTCCTGTCTCTCTTCCTATTCTTGATGCTCCATTTGATTCCTGATTCCTGATTCCTGATTTGTCGGATCGCCCACATTCTGACCGGGATTCTGATTCCTGATTCCTGATTCCTGATTCCTGATTCCTGATTCCAACATTTTGACCGGGATTCTGATTCCTGATTCCTGATTCCTGATTCCTGATTCCTCGGAGTTACGCATTTCGGCGGGATCCTATGTTGGCCTGACTCTCCGAACTCCTGAGCCGATATTGCGTGTGCGCGGGGCTTCACACAACTCACTCAAACTTCGCCCGCGGCAGCATGGTTGCTCAGGCGCGGGTCTCTCTGGCGCTCCAGCCTCACGTCAGCGCACTCAGCGCTTCAAAGCCTCGGTCCGGCGTCCGCAAAGGCGCAGTGTGTGGTGCGGGCTCTGCCCGCCCCCCCGAGGAGAGGGGGGGGGGGCGCTCCCGCGCGGGGGGGAGCCGAGCGAAGCTCGGCTCGGGTTCAAACTAACCCTCCCCCTTTTTTCCCTTTATCTAAAACTGCTCGCCGCGAGCGGCTCGCTTCTAAAACGAGCTCGCCGCGGCTGTCGCCGCGTCTCGCCTGTCTAGGCGTCGTGATGCGTGTGTGCTTTTGAGCTGGGCGTATAAGAAGAAGAAATTGAAGCACTCCTCCCATTGACTTAGTACGAGCACCGAGACACGAGACAGCAGCCTACCCGTTCTACACCCACACCGCCGCGGAGCTGCCTAGCTGGCGGGTGCATTCACAGCGAGCCCGCGGGCTTGGAGACCCAATCAGACAGCACTCCCCACAGCAAAAGAGCAGACGTGCCGCTGTGAGCATCGCTGAGCAGCACCAACGACCGCTTGCGGGGTCGCCGCAGGCCGGCGCCAAGCTGCATCTGACGCCGGCATGCCGTTCAAACCCCGGCACCAAGCGCCCGCGGGAATGGGAGACCGCCTGCCCAGAATTAAGATCGGCCGCGCACTGCTCTGGCTCCACCATGCCACCGCCCATGAGATCTCTGACGCACGTGTGATGAGCCGCCGTTCAAAAGTGACTGTACTGTGCGGAGCGGCACCGTGCGCTTCTCGCGCTGGCTCTCCTACGCGCGCGACCTCACCTTCTTCAAGCGGCTCGAGCTATCCAACCCGGGCATCGACTTCGAGTGGCTGGCCGAGCGTGTTCAGCTCATGCGTGCCGTGCTGCTTGGCTGCGACTACACGTACCGGGCAGTTGTCACGGCGATGCGCCTAGGAGCGGGTAGGGCTCGCCAACACCACTGACACAACCGGTGAAATGCGCCCCCCCTCCCTCGACCCTCCTCAGTTGGCTTGGATCTTCCGCTTTTGGGGTCGCTCAGCTCTGCCCGTGCCACCCGTGGACGTAACGACGACGGCCGAGAGCCGCCGATTGACAGTCTTTCACCAATCGCAGACTCAGTTCCTCGCGTCGGTGATGACTCACACAGCGACTCTCGCGTCCATCTGGGCGATCGGCGCGCTCATCGCCGGCAGCCTCGCATGGGGCGCCTACCAGCCGTGGCTCGACGCCTATCGCGACGGCTGCACCGCGACGGTGCGTGGCGAGGACGGCCGAAGGGTGGTGATTGCGACGGGCAACACAGCGCTGGCTTCGAACCTGTACGCGATGGCCTTCAACGCAGCGTCGTCCGCGGGCAACAAGGACCGGATGCAGGGCCTCGACCTCTACGACGTGGAGGTGGACAGGCGTTGCGACGAGCATGCGCCGCAGACGACCGTTGAGCACGAGGGGACTGTGCGTCGGCTCGCGGCCGCCATCGACGCCCACGCAGCGGTGGCGAATGAGATGCGGATGATGCGAACGTGCCTCGACGTGGCCAGGATCGACGCCGAGTTGATTATCCACGCCGACGTTGCGGCAGACAGCTCTGCTCTGCTCGCCCATGCTCTGGCGGAGCCCGCTTGCGACGAAACGGTCTCAAACAGCTCCCTGCCGCTCGGCTCCTTTGATTGCGTTGGAGCACTGCCAGACTGCATGATGGACTGCGCGGAGCTCTCTGATGATCAGGGCAAGGACGCGTCTGGTCTGAGCGGCTTCGCAACCGGCGCGGCATGCACCGCCGAGTGGTGGTTCCACTCGTGGCTGGTCAACTTGGCGGCCTGCGCCGTGGTGTACTTGTTGGCAAACGGAGGCCGTGTCCTCTTTGTATGGGTGCGCCTGTGCCGCACGTAGCCGCCACTTATCCCGTGCGCCCGAGCGTAGCCCCGTGCTACGCAGGGCCTCGTGCGGCTGCTCTGGGACCAGCTCAACACGGGCCTATTCGCATTTGTCGGCACCTGCGACGCGAGAGGAGAGGGAACGTACGACGAGGCCGTCCTCGCGGGCAGGATCCGCGGCATGCTGGGCAGCCTCAAGGCCACTGGCGGACTCATGATCTTTGCGGCTGCCGTGATGCAGGTCCCGTGGGTGGCTGGGTTGATCTGGGTCGTGCCAGAGGTGGCGTACACCTCGCTAACGTGAGAGAAAGGCGCTCTGCTTTGATTTTACATACGACGACCCGATGTGTACATACGACGATGTGTCGCGTGTTCAAGTTCATCTCCTCTCAACGTGGACTCCGTCGCTCATGATACACGCGCTTGCGATGCTGACCCCCATGCGTTCCCGCCACTGTACCTGGATTGCTCTCAATCCTGTTGTCGCCTGATACTATTTCGCCCTCTGTGGGAGGCGGTCCAGTGAGCAGCTGCCACCACGCCAAGCTGCCCACGACAGCGCCGCACATCTCAGTCATGGAGGTGCGGCGGCCAATGCCTCGGTGCAGTGCACTGGTTACCCGGAACGTGTTTGGCTCCACCACCGAGGACGGGCGGTAATTGGCCAGCGTTGGATGAGCAGAACCAGATTCGCTGCGTGAAGTGCCACGCTGCCGTCGAACTGAAGAAGGCACGCCAGGGTGCGCGGCGTCACTTCGAGACAGAGAGCATCCCATGACAGAGCTCAACGCTCGCCCAGTCGACGCGCAACCCTGGACGGCGCTCTGTGTTCGGCGTCCAACGGGCTTGCTCCAAAAGGGCTCGCTCGAGGAAACGGTGTCGGCGGCGCACCTGGCGGGAGGGGACAGTGTCCTGGACGAGGAGAAATCGCGGTGGCGGCTACCGACTTGTGAGTGTGTGTGTGCTTCACACACTACCGACTTGTGTGTCTTGTGAGCCTTTTGTGTCTGTGTGTCGCTCGTGCGTGTCGTCATCATCTGTCTAGCGTCCACCCATACCATGTATGTTGGTGTCCACGCTCTGGGTGGTAGTGGCGGCGCTCCAAGAGTACTTACTTACATACATAAGAGTGGTGCTCTTGGGAAGAGGTTCCTCCTTTCCGCTCCCCCCCCGCAAGGCGCGACACACACGTCCAGTCCGAGCCTGGCTGTTCTTCACCTTTGATTGATGGGAAGGCGAAACACAGTCCGACCAACGACTGGGCGACACCAACGCGGTATGGGTGGACGCAGGACGGGCGATGACGGTCACACAGGAGCGACACACAGAACCACAAGACAAGACACTCACAGCCAACGGGGCGGCTGCCACACATCCTGAGCGAACTTCCCTAGTCACCCGCGGCTGGACTCCATCCGGCACGCGTCGCTGGGCGCTCAGAGCTGCGTCCCCTGCTCGCCACCCCGACGCCCAAGGCGCCCGAGCGAACGACAGGCGGCACGCGAAGACTGGTTGCAATCCCGCCGACCGCCAGGCCGCGGGATGATGTGTGCGTGGTCATGTAGTGGGTCTCGGAAGCTCCCCTCTTGGGCTAGGGGCCAGCCCCTCTCCCTTGCCCTCGGAACAGTGTGTCCGAGTCGAGGCGTGTGCTTTGCGGTCGATGGCCGCCCGCGGTTGGCATTGTGACCAAAGGTGTTGGTCGGCCTCGGTCCGCCCCCCCATGGGTTGGTCGCGGGTGCGGCCTACCCACCGGCAGTTGTTTCTGGTCATCGGGAAACCCTTTACCCCGGGGTTCATTCTCTCCTTTAAAC